GCGGTCCATGTCTGCAACTTGTTGTTGTTAGACATTGCGAAGAACGGCACCCCCGAGAAGCTTGGGAAGAGGGAGGACACCATCATCAGGGCTCGAGCAGTCGTGCGTTTCATCAGAGAGCATGGGGTAGCTCTCAGCCTTTACCGACGTTTCTCTGCCGCCCACCCCTCTTCCGCCTCCGCAGTTGCGGCCAGTTCCAACGCTGCTCCACCCTCGTCTCAGCTGCGAGGCAGAGAGCTTGTGTACCCCGCACAAACGAGGTTTGCTACGCACTACTTGATGCTGGAGAGGTTGTTGGATCGTCGCCGAGCGTTGGAGTCGTTGATAATGAGCGACGACTGGTTGTGGACTGCATGGAGGAGGTCCATTTTCTTGCAGGCCAGGTGGGTGCGTCATCAGGTGCGATACGCGCCATTCTGGGAGCACGTGGAGGATATCGTGGAGCTGATGATGCCTGTAATGCAGCTGCTGCGACGTTTGGACAAAGGGGGGCGCGTGATGACTCACATGTGGTCGTGGGCGCTTGCCATGGTCGAGAGAGTGGCGAGGGCGAGACTGAACAGGACGTCAACGGAGGATCTCAACATCATTGTTCAGGCTTGTCATGCGCGGGTCGATCATATGTTGGAGCCCGCACATTGCGTGGCCCACCTCCTCAACCCTCGCCACAGGAGCATTACGTATTTTGGAGCGGTGAGGCGTAACAAGCACGACAAAACACTCGTGGAGGAGTCGCTGCGATACCTTCGCCAGCAGATTGGCGGAGATGAGGAGTTGTATCAGACATTGCGCACGCAGTTGGCGGAGTTTCTGAGCTGGGAGGGCGATTGGACGTATGGAAGGGTTGAGGGTGACAGGGACGCGGCCTCCTACAGAGGGGAGAAGGAGACGTCGCAGGTGGGCCAGTGGTGGGTTCAGCACGGGGACGGGGTCCCTCTCCTTCAGAGTTACCCCATTCGCCTGACACACACATGGGCGTGCGCCTCTCCAGCGGAGTGGAACTGGGCCGTCCATGAGCGTGTTCAGGTGAAGAAGCATAACCAACTTGGTTTCATCAAGCTGGCTTGTTTGGTGGAGATATCCACCAACTTGAGATTGAGTCGTTTTCAGGGGAGGGGTTCAGGGTACGTTCTGCCATGGGAGGATGCCGAGGAGGAGACAAAGGACAATTTTCCTCCGCCTCGTGACGAGGGTGTTCGGCCAGCTGACCGAGTCACGGAGGCGAAGCGCGAGCGAAAGGTGCAGCGAGGGTGGAAGGATCGCCTTTCGAAGGCTCCGCCCAGCGTCGAGACGTATTTCGGTCGTCGCGCCACGGTGCTCATGCCGACTGAGTTGGACGCCGTGTACGATCCGGAGCCTGATCCTATGGCTCAGGACCCGATTGAGGTGGAGCCGTGGTCCGATCCACACGACCTGGCAGTGGAGTCAGACCCGGGAGATTCTGATGATGGGGGCGACAATGTTACTCTCGCCGAGATGTTGTGTCCTCGGACGCGTGCTTCCACTGCAGCCGCTGCGCAGCATCCCCCTCCCCCTCCACCTCCGCCCTCGAGTGCTCGTGGTTCCACTGCAGCCGCTACGCAGCATCCCCCTCCCCCTCCACCTCCACCTTCGAGTGGTCAGGCTGGAGCCGTTCCGCAGCATCCCCCTCCACCTACAGATCGTCCAGGACATGGCGAGCAGGGGACTCGGGATATTGTTGAGGAGGGACGTGATGACAACGACGATGTCAGAGAGGGGCACGAGGGCAGCAGTGAGGACGAGGATGATCCCGCCTATTCCCCGACACGCGGACGTGGTGATGACAACGACGAGGGCGGCGATGGTACACAGGCTGCAAGTGGTTTGCAGAGGTCGGGTCGACAGCGTGCCGACCGATGCAATGGTGCAGGCAGGGGAGGCAGTGGTGCAGGCAGGGGCGTGGGGGGCGCACGAGACACGGGGGCTGCAGGCCGTGGTGGCGGAGGACGGGCGAGGCGAGAGTCTGCTTCGTCCACTCGCACTGTGCTCTGGGTCGATGAGGGTGCCGCGACAGCAGAGGTTGGCGCCGGGTCGGCAGAGTTTGGTGGTGCTGCGTCGGTGCAGGCCGCTGCAGAGGCCGCTCCCTCCACTCCACATTTCGCAGCGCCGTCTGAGGAGGTAGCAGGCGGGTTTGCTGAGGTTGCTGACGAGGCTGCACAGGTTGGGAGCGCTTCTTCGCAGTTGGGTGGCAGTTTCAGTGGTATGATGGATGTTTCGTTAGGCTTTCCTGCGACACCGGCAGGCGAGCGTGGCAGTGGTGATGCGGACGCAGCGACTACGCCCGTCACACAGATACTCCGGGATATACCTTCATGCAACATGGGTGACATCAGTAGCAGCATGTTGCAGGAGGCAGCAGCGGGGACACAGGGTTCGTCGGGGCAGGAGGAGTGTGCAGTAGGGGACGGTAGGGATTGTCGACCTATGCAAGAGCGAGCGCCAGAGTCGGAGCAGGACATGATCGACCGCGAGGAGAGGGAGAGGGCGTAGGACTTGGCTAGCCGTTGCAAGATGACATAGAGTATTGCGTTGAGGGCACGGGCAGAGCGGATGCTCGAGACGGGGCGGTGGTGGGGGTCATCGTGAGACGGACGATGCAGTGCTTGAGTGTGGCGATGTGGGCGGTGGGGATGCAGGCGAGAGACCCGCGTCGCCGGTTCAGGGTGTTTGTATATTACCTATCGGTGGAGTCATGACGGCGGGGGAGTTGGATCGGCAGGCACGGGAGGACCCATTGCATGCAGATCGACGTGGACGGATGGATAAGGCGTCGAGGAGGTTCATGGCAGAGGGCCCAGCCTACGTGCCGTGCAGCCCGTCACTGCCATCGTCCACCACTGGTGGCACGACCTCCGTGCATGCTGAGGGTGCCACTACCGCACCGGCACCTGCAGAGTCTCCTTCTCCCAAATCAGGGAAGAAGAAGATGAAAGCAGGCAAGAGTCTCAGTACTGTGAGGAGGGTGACGCATGCGATGCGGGAGAGTCAACCCGGGTTGGCCGGTTTACATCCGCGGACTCGGGAGGCGTTGGCCCGGGACGTTGTCGCGGACAGAGTAGGTTGGCGGGAGAGGGCCTCCACCCGGGCAACGGAGCAGCCCATGACAGCACCTGCTGCGGCGGCGATGCCACGTACTGAGGGGCACATACGAGGTAGGGGGGAGGAGGCGGAGCACCGTGGCCCCCCCGGGAGGAGCATGGCCGGACGTATATTGGGGGAGGATGTGAGGACGGTGCCTGCGCAGCGACCGTCGCAGATAGCATGCGTTTTGGAGTCTGGTACCGATGATTTGGAGATGCCTCTTGGCCAGCGGAGGAGGGCTTCCGTGTACGACCTTCTTCGAGCACAGCACGGGGTTGAGGCGGTGCCACAGGGGGGGGTTCATGCTCCGAGTACTGCGCATAGGCCGGTAGGCGGCACTGGTGGTGGCGACGGTGTTACAGGTGTGGCGACGCAGAGGAGGAGGAAGGACATTGTGGACGACGATGATGCTTAGTCCCACCATTAGTCCTTTTTCGTCCTGTATTTCGTAGTAGTGTATACTACATTTAGTGCTTCGGATGACGTGATGTATTCATAGGTGTAGTGTATATTATATTTAGTGTTTCGTCATCACCACATTTGTATCTGTACAGATGGTTAGACTACTGCACAGTTTTCCATACACAGGTGCAGTAGGTGCAGATTGTTGTTTCTTTTTCGTTTTATTTTTGCATCGATGTTTCAGAGGATTGCACTCATTGTTCAGACATGGGCGCAGCAATTGCAGCGCTTGCATTGTTTTTGTTTTCCTTCTACTTTGCTAGCGATGTTTCAAACGATTGCACACTGTATTCGCACATTATTTGCTTGAGTTCAGTATTCATGCTTCATTTATTGTTGTGTATCTATGGCACAACTGTTTCGCGTTGTTGTTATGTTGCCCTGTAATGTTGTACTTTCTAAATTTCTGCAACGATTATCACTCGCAGATGATCTTCAATGACTCAATGCTTTTGAAAACTGTTTGTAATTGTTGTTGTTTGAAATCAAGAACTTGATGTACGCTTATGCTTGTTTCGTCCTGATGTTCGTTCGCCTGTGATGCATTTGTCAACATCCCCCACCCAACCCTCCCCAAGGGGAAACCAAAGGACGACCTTGGCAAAGACTTCCCAAAGGACCCTTGATAATGCCCCCACCGCCCACCC